ATTATTATTATTATTATTATTTTTAAATAAGATTTTACTTTGAACTTAATAGTCCCTGTTAGATGTTTGGAATCTCAATGCAGTGGGATTTGTGCAGACTGGCTGTTTGAAAACGCCGCTGTTTAACGGCAGACACGAGCAGCTCCGGGATCCGCTGCCCCTATTGGCTGGCTGTGATTGAGAAGGCAGGTGCGGTCGGTCTGCAATTAGACTTCAATTCGCTCATTTATAGCCGTTCTGGGACCGGGTCGCTGCAAAGCCTTTAAATAGCGAGTTTGGAAGCAACGAAAGTTTCTCAAATTTACCGTTTAACTGGAGCTGCAGGATTCTGGGCTAAGCCTGTCGGTTTTTCTCGAACCGGGTGGAAGACGTAGTAAAATGGGGTTTAAACGTAAAGATGTCGGAGCTACTGGGCGGGCTGCGTTTTGTGGCTTGGACTCTGCGAAGTGAAACGTGGTATTAAAACTGTGCTTACAACTGTTTTTACAGTGCTAGTTCTCCTTTCTGTAGTTTTACCTGCACGATATGCTTTTTTTGTATTCCAGGTTTCTGCTGTATCTTGGTGAGTCGCTGGGTTTTAACCGGCGGCAGTTGGGTCCTTCACCGCCTGCAGACCTGATCGCAGATCCGTGTAGTGAGTGACCGGAGCTCCGCGGCGGATTCACAGGTGAGTCCGAGTCTCTTCATCCTAGAGCCCCGGTCAGCTCAGGACTGAAAACCACTTTTACTGGGATGGCGGATTTTCAAATCGGTACCGGGCCCTGTGGCTCCGTTTGACTTGTATCTTCTCACGGTGAAGTTGCAGGTCCGGCTGGGTTTTCCTTCTCCTGAACCGGTTTGCTGGAAGTCGCACCGACCGCTGTGTAGCTTCAACTGGGGGCGAACTTGTGACTTACCGGTAACAGACCGCAGGAAACTGCACCCAGCCGTGTGAGACCAGGTGTGAAGACTGAAACCCCCGGTAGGAGAAGAGGGAGAAACCGCTTACCTTGCTCTTGTCCTGCTGTGAAGTGTATAATGAGATTTAAATTTTGCTTAAAAACCAATTCATCGTAGAAATCGTGGCTGGTTTTCGCAAAACCCGTAAGAACAAATGTATTTTTTTTTTCCAGCAACCGAGCAAAGCACCTGTACCAGGAGAGTAGCGAGGTATCAGCCGGACCTCCCCATCACCGCCATCCTCCGGCCGGGACGCCGGCCTGCACAGAACCGCCCCGTATTTATAACCTGAGTCCTGCTGAGCGCGAAAAGGACGACGAAGGTAGCTAATCAAGACACCGGGGACGGAGATGAGACTCTGGATATCCGTGCAATAACACCGCTGCATATTGTAATTGTTTCTTATGCTGTAATAAACTGCTGTGAATGTGTTAATTGGATTGATTATTCTGATATGGGGGAGTACAGGGGTGTAGAGAACCCTGAATCGGGTCCCCCCTTTAAACGGTCCCACCACGGGGCTCGCAGCGCTACACCCTCCGGGCGCTGGCGTTGTCCCGGTCAGGGGAGTTGGGAGCCAGGGGACTGCGGCCTCACCTACAGCCTCTGTCCCCGACCTCTGCGGGCCTGAGGACACGCACCCCTCGGTACGTGAAAGATGACGCACCACGCTGCTGAGAGAACGCGTCTAGTTACCAGGGTAACTAGGGGGTGTGGCTGGGTTTTAGGGGCGGGGTTCAGTATCCAATCAGCGCCTTGAAGAGGTGGGTGTAAGCCCCGATCACGAGAGGACACGCTCAGACCGAGAGGGAAAAATAACTGCAGAGACATGCGGGACTCGAACCCGGCTCACAGGGGTGGAGAGGTAGAAGAGTCAGGGGTTCAGCTGATTGAGCCATACTTCCTGCTAAATCCAGAGCGACTCCCTGGAGATATTTGTTCAAACAAAAAAACATTTGCCAAAATAAACATTTGAAAAGTATCCCTCCTCCTCTTTTAGAATACTTAACCGTTTCTCATCTACGTTTTCGGTATTTTATAAAATGGGCTGTAGTCTATGGGGACAGGTGGATTTGAATGTGGATCTTACCGACCACAGGCCAGTGCCTTTCAAGATGAACCACAGTGCTCCCAGGAAACAGATTAAGCGCTGTCAATGAAAGCATTAAAACGGATTCCTTCCTCCTGGCAGATAAAGGAGAGACAGCTCTGCTGACTGGGAGCAGGAGCCACTACAGAGCTGCGGCACCCATGTAGTGAATTAAAAAACTTTTCAATTTCATATATGATGTAACTGAATATTACAAATACTTCTAGCTGCACTGAATCCTACTGTGAGCTGTAGATGCTGTGATGCTGCACACTGTTCAGTCCTGCATAGTGCTCAGGACTCGGCTTCACTGCGAAAGCTGTAATGAGTTGGTATGACTCCATCTATCTGTACTGAGTAGCTCTAAGTTTGCTGGTAGACTGGAATTAACGAATTATAAATGTGGACAATCGGGCTTTACTTTTCCACTGTTCCCCATGATAACCTCACTCCTCAAAAGGCAGAAGTTCCCCTAAGTCTCTTGGATTTGATCAATGGAGAAATCTCAACAATATGAAAAATAGATTCCTCCACAGCCACAGGAAATAAAGTCCAAATAAAGTAGTAAAGTGCATGGGAGAGGTGTTCACAAACTGATAAATAAATATCGCACAAACATGGGTTGAAACACAAGTGTCTATGAGTCTGATTAATAGTGCTTTATTATGTAGAAAAATGGTACATTATTTTAATAATTAGAAAAAAACAAGTGAAGGAGCAGTCAACTGATGTCACTGTCCATTCCTGAGGCTGGGTACAGATTCTTCAGAAGCCGTCCCTGAGAAAATACCCACAGCAGTGTAGGAGCAAATCAGAGGGATCAAAGAGAACAACACAGTTTACTACAACAGAGATCATCTTTCCAAAACAACAACTTACAACAATATTCTACATCACATTAGCAATTATAAGAATGAACAGTTGGAGACAATACAAACATAAGATACAGTGATACGCTTGAGACAGAGTATCTGTACAGGTATATATATATAAAACGCAATATGTATTTAACAGATATTCAGACCATTATGCCTATCTAGAAATATTCACAGAGTTGTCAGGAAAAAATAGTTTAAATTATGATGCAAGGGTAATAACTTTTTAAATAAAAATTAAACCAGAATCTGTATTCTCTCTGTATTCTGTATTCCTGGACTTGCAAAAATAAGTATTAATAATGTAATGACTACATTTTCAACACACTGGTCAACATGTAATCTCTTTCAGGTCTTCTAGATCTGTCATGTAAACAGTATAGAGCAACAGAGAGAGAAAGACTGGAGCTAAACCAGGTTACTGTTTGATCCAGTTAAATCAAACACCTTTACCCAGCTCTTCAGGTGCTGCTGATTTAAAGAGACCTCATCTACAGACACACTGACCCCTCCAGGACCAAGGCTGGACACCCCTGCTGCAGACACACCGACTGGACCAGGACCAGAACTGGACACCCCTGCAGAGACACTCACGCTGCTGGGACCAAGACTGGACACCACTTATTTCCTTTATTGTCCTAGATGGGACATTTGCTTTGCAAGCAGGTAAAAGACAAAACATAATACACAACATGGAAAAAAATAAAGTAAACTATGCACTTAATTCTCAAAGCTTCCGTTAAAGATGAGCTCTTGTCCTGCCTACCTCCTTCCTCATGGTTGTGAAGTGGGCGGAGTCACAGACTGTCCAGCTGGTCCTCATGATCTTCACAGCTTAGATGCTCAGCCTTTGGAAAGCTTTTCAGCTTCAATCTTGTTTCTCCAGAAACAGTTAGAAGACGAAGGATTCACTGAATCAGCTATGAGTTTTCTAACAATATCACTATCATCACCATCATCTTGGTATAACGTATCTGAAACAGAAATAAAATGTCCACAGCAACTAGTGTGCCGTAGCGCCGTGCAGTCATGTGTTCAGACTAACAACACTTAGCAGCTACAGAAGAAAAGCCCGTCTTAGATTTTTACCAATTAAAGGCGAATACGATTGAATATATCTGCTTGTTAAAAAAATAAATCCTTCCTGATTTTTAAAGTCCGGAGGAACAACAACAGTCTCAAAATCCCCGCCCTCCTCACGAATCTCGGAGTTTATTGGGCAAACTGGACCAAGAGTCGCGTTTAATTGGGAAAACTTACTGTCAGTCAGCAGTAACTTCCCACTAACCAATCATGACATCGCTGGACTCAATCCCAGTGATCTGATTGGCTCTAGATCCTCTCATTCAGCCACAAGAGAGTTTAGACCCCAGTCACATGATCCGGGTGTTTAATATCGCACCAAAGCCTCACTCTTGTCCTGCAAAACAGTCTTTCATAGACTCGTGTATCACCACTGCCGACTGGTGGTCTGTTATCGGAATCGTCTCCTTTTGCTGTACTTCGATCAATGGGTGTAATGTTATATCCAAATAGTTCAGTAACGCTACGAGATTTTTTTAATATCCAAAGAAATCTCCGATATCGAAATATCCCGTGTCAAAACTAGATTTTAGTAGCAATTATATAGTTGCAATAATAAGTTATGATTCATAATTACATTCATCTAAAATTTTAAATGAATTCTTACAAGAGTCTTTAATATAACCCATATATATATATACAGTAGCCTCGGAAAAAACGAAAAACAATTATTTTAACGTTAAAGGATTAAGCGAACAATACAATATTTCTGAATAAGTATTTCGATATTTAAAAGCCGTACCAACAATGTTAAAAGCGATGGTAGAAGGTGACGTTTACCAGTGTGGCCGCCAGGCGGAGACATTGCTACACGTGTCTATGAAGGGCTGTTTTAATGGAGCCCTTTTCAGTCTCCAGCTGTATTCCACTGACCGTGATATCATTGGTATCCAGTCCAGGTCCTGGCCCTGAGCCACAGTGACACCAGTCTCAGACTGACACCCTCATCAGCTCTGAATGAGCCTCAGAGGGATGTTGTGCTGAAGGTGCCTGAACACTAGTCTCTCTCTCTAATCTTCCTGAACACATCTTTTCATCAAACTAACAGGTTTAGTGTTGTGTGCTGACTGTAATAATGATCAAATCACACATCTTTTGCAGTTTGTCAGTTTCCTTGTTCTTTCCTTTGTCTTTAGATCACTTTTATTTCTTCCTCAATAACCTGTTCGTTCTGTCAACCTTTATCTGCAGGTGGAAATCATCTTATTGCAACTGGATCTCTTTCAGGCACTATTCTGTTAACTGTGCTTCTCTGGCATAGTCCAAAACAGTGTCTCATTTATTTCACACATTCCTGCAGAAATCTGTCCCTGCCTGTCACACCCATGTCCATTGTTAATTGATTTAAAATAATCGATTAAAAGGGCTAAAACTTAAACATTGGTTCCCTTATTACAAGACTCCTGGGCTTTTGTATCAAAGGACAGACTGATGCCTGACTTTAGTTGGTACTTTGTTGACACTAAACTAATAAAACTCTGCCAATGCAAATCACAGACATGGGCAGCAAGAGATTCATTTCTAATTATAGGGCAGTACCACATCAGTAAAATACAATACAGTGTTGATACAATATAATGTAATTTCTGGCTCAAGACTGACATCATCCAGTCCACACTTTCCCTGCTGTCAAGTCTGGTGGTTGTGGGGCGATTCTTATTAGCAGGGACCAGAGAGACCATCAGACCCAGAGAAACAGGACACCCTGAGACAGAACGGAGACTGAAAGCAACAGCTCCTACTCGTCTGCTGAACTGACTGATTCCCTTGACGTGGTGATATAATAGTGATCAGAATAATCACTATTTCACTATTCTCGCCCTCCTCCAAATGTATATCTCTTATTCATTCATATTGCCTTCTCTGACCTGTTGCTATGTCTGGCAGAAAACATCATTCAGTCAACAACATCCTCTAAAAAGAAGGGATGTGAAGGAATCACAGCAAAGTCCAGGTCTGAAATGGTAATTGTGGGGAAAAGCTTATTTTCTGGAGAGCACTGTAGAACACACACACACACAAGATGCGTCTGCACAGAATTCCAGCTGTGTTACAAAGAGTTTTATAGTCTGAGTCCAGCCATCCTCACTTTGTGTTATAACCTTGAATGAGGGTTTTGGAGGGACCATTAGCAATCATATTGGAATCATAAAAATTAAAAATAATAAAACCTACGACACAGTGGCTTTTCCTGGTGCCGTTATCCCTGTTTTGGCGTTATTCCTGAGATGTCAGGTACAGCAGCTGGTGTCTGTTTAAAAATCCCCCCTAGCCAGGTCAGAAGTAATGACCCCTGGCCAGAGGCAGATTTCTACAATATATGTACATATATGTTTGCAAAAGTTAATGTTGTCTGTAATTTATCACCACAGATTTAAAACTGTAGTATTGAATATTTAGAGAGTATATGTTATATTGTTATAAAATAGTAGCAGACCAAATATGTAAATAATAGCCAACATGCACACATTTACAGTCAATATTTTATTAAACAATAGTTTTAGTGCAGATTTTTTACTTAAAACAATAACGAAATTAACCCGAACTGTTTCTCCAGCAGCCTGAAGCCCTGACAAACAGCAGCTGGTTACTTCTGTTGTCTGTGTGACACGAGAGTAACTCTGCAGGACGAGGGAACACAGATATCACTTAATCCCGGGATATACCGTGGTTGTTTTCCATGAGTATATTCACTGCCGGCGCTATGATCTTCACCCCAGTTCACAAGTCCTCGTTTCAGAAAACAGAATCAATGCGCTAATTCACCTAAACCAGGATCTAGAAAATAATCAGGTCTCTCACACGCAGCACAAAGGTCTTTAAACACCAAAATTGCTCACAGTGTCAGACAGCTGACAAGAGCGGCGATCGTGGATGTATATACTGAGAAATCGAATCAAACTCTGTATTGATACACCCCGTCCTTTTTAAAATCACACGTGAAGATACTAACGAAGAAAGAATTTGACTGTCACAAAACGCCACCAGAATACAGAAATGTTTACCGGTCAAATAAAGTTAGGAGGTCGATTTACCTTACACGGTGTCTCTCAGTACGCCGTCCGAAACAGGAAAAGGATTTACAGACAATGAACATTGCAACCTTTCTCATACTCCTCACAGGTCATTTTTAACATTTACATTCCCACCCTTTAGCTAGAAACAGGTGCAGGAAGAGGAGCTCAGCGCCGCCTGTGGTTCACAAGCAGAACTGCAATCCGACTGTATTGTACCGCCCGGCACCAGTCACATCTGGCGAGGAGGTATCGCTGTGTTAAAAAGCCGCTGGACTGAGTCCCAGATTGATCTTTTTGCACCTCACAGGAGTCAGAAAAATCCTCATGCAAAAATCCCACAACAAAACTAGAAACCATGAGCTCCATAATTGCTTACACTTATGTAGCACTTTTCTAGACACTCCACTCAAAGTGCTTTACAGGTAATGAGGAGTCTCCTCCACCACCACCAGTGTGCAGCCCCACCTGGATGATGCAACGGCAGCCATACTGCGCCAGTAAACTCCCCACACACTGGCTGTCAATGTGGAGGAGAACAGTGATGGGGATCATAGATAGAGAATATTTGGAGGCCATGATTGGTAAAGGCCAAAGGGAAATGTTCGAGAAATGCCATGGGGTTTTTTTAATGACCACAGAGATTCAGGACCTCAGTTTTACATCTCGTCTGAAGGACGGTGCCTTTTTTTACAGTATAGTGTTCCCAGCACTATACTGGGTCATTAGGACCCACATAGACCGCAGGGTGAGTGCCCCCTGCAGGCCCCACTAACACCTCTTCCAGCAGCAACCTTGCAACATGATTCTTGTGGATTTTGTAATGAAACCAAATGTGCAAACAATTGCTTTCTCATGAAATGTTCATTTCACTGTTACCTGAAACACTGTACAGGACTGAAGAGCTCTACTCTGGCTCTGTCCAAGGTGCTGATTGTATAGAGGAGCCCCACACTGTCTCTGCCCATGAAGCTCTATACTACTCTGCCAGTCTCCCTGCCCGAAGATCACCCAACTACATGTAACCATTAAAACTGATAGGTTTAATGTTTGAACTAATCTTCATTTCAAACAGTGTCGGTAAAATACAGTTAACATATTACATGTAGGGTCAAACAGATGTGCAGGATATATCTTGAAAAAGTCAAGAAAGCAGAGGGAAAAGTAAGTGTTCTAAAGTGAGTTTTGAAACAGAAATGTAAAATTTCCTACAGACTTGCAGGTTCTTTCCAGTAATGAGCACTGGGACACAGTTAGGGGAAATGGCACAGTAGTGAGTCACACTGGACACAGCAAGAAACAGCCCGGACATCTTCACACAGTCTTTATTATCTCGAACACAAAAACACAAGGGAATTTAAAATACTCAACTGAAACAGGTTTACTTTGATGAAGGAAGAAAAAGACAATTATTTAAAAATTTAAAAAATGCAATAAACGGTGGCAAAAAATTAAAGGAATGAAACCCCCATTTTGCTGTACAACTGTTTTCTCAGCCGTAGAGAACAGAAGGAGTGACAGTGGGAGTATCAGTGGAGAAACAAGAGACCAGGATCGTCTCCAGGAATCAGCAGAGGAGTCCCGGCAGACACACTGTCTCTCTCCCACACATTATCTTCTCACTCCGAGCTTCTCTCCCTCTTACTCAGGACAGATGGGGGGAAAATTCACACTCTCCCAGGATCGCCCTCACAGATAAAGGGGACTTTATCTTCACAGTTTAACTCCCACGCCAGTATCCAGAGGCACAGTTCCCAGAGTATTCCTTATTAACTGTGATCCTGTGAGAGAGACGGAGATCAGAGACACTGAGCCAGTCTGGTCACCTCAACACACCAGCCCCTCTCTCTTCATCTCCCCCTGCTGTCTTGGTGAAGACATTCTTGTGTAACCTGTGATGTTATTTGTCAAATACGAGTTCAAATGAACTTTTCTCTTTGATGAATGATATTTACTCAATAGAGTCCCCTATCCAGTGTGACACATCAGTAGAGAGAATTCAGCACACAGTTAAAGACACTGAAAATATAGTCAGCGTGACTGAAACACAATACAGTCAGTGCAGTGATTCCACAACAGTACAAAATAAACACTCCAACAGTAACGTATATGTCAGTGTGCTCCTGATTACTGCAGGTTTTAATTTTTATTAGATAATGTGTGTTTAGTCTTGTTACTTTATGACATCTTCTCTCACCAAACTCCCAGAGTAACTAACTGAATTACTTCTGATTCTGCACCTTAGTAAAAAGTATCTTTGCTTTGTGTAGAAAGATGGCCAACCTGTTTCAGTCCATCTTCCTTTAAAATTGTGTCTTAAGAAGTGTGTGTCAGAGCTGTAGATAGACGGGCTATGTGAGAGAGAAGAGAGAAGAGACTCAGAGCCGAATTTGACTGTTGATGCTGTGTTGATGCTGTGATGTGAATTGATCTACTTTGTCAGTGTCTGACTGTGATGCATTGAGTCCCCAGATTTGTCTGTAATGTCCCACCTGCTTGGACTGACTATGGTTTCATTAGAATTTTGTCCAGTCTCAGATCTGAGAAAAATTTCAGTAACACACAATAATATTAGACATTATTTAATATACACTGTCTATAATGTGTGTGTTTAAAATTGTGGTTGTATAATGACTCATAAAATCCCCAGTCAATATTCAGATAAGGTCTGTAATAGTGACCCAACACCACCATTAAAACTGTTTTGCTACAAAACAGTAACAAGTGGGTCTGACAAAGTCATAGCATAATACACTTACACTTGTTTGTACTTGGAGTCGTCTACTAGACTTCCCAGGAGCTCCTGTAGAGACACATAGAGCAGGTCAGATCACCCTGGACACCAACACTCAATCCAGCTGGGCCTCAGGTCAGCTGTTATTGGGGAGGGGTCAATTAAAGAGCACACCAGCACAAAGACACACTGACACACCCCCAGGCAGCTATATGACTTGAACCAGCCATAGAGACAGTACTCAGACAGCCTGGACAGATACCAGACTGCACTGGGCGATGAAGAAATTCACAGGCTATTGAATACATTACTAAACACCCTGTATCAGACCAACAAAACAGGCATAGATATGGCAGCACAGAAACTAAAACTCACAGACTGGCATTAAAAACAAAGCTAAAGAGAATAAAATTTAAAAAAAAACACCAATAAAACAAAAGGAAAAGAAAATGGTTCGATACAGAGAGCAAAAACACCAGTAAAGCACTTTGAAAACTCTCAAATAAAAAACAAACAGACAACAACAACACAACACAGATCTGTGCCTCAGTTACTGCAAGATGGTAAAATATTACACGCTGTCAAAAAGAAACTTAACACACACACAGAGGCAAACAGCTTGCAGAAACTGAGGAGTTATTAAAGCAAAGCCGCTTCTGGGAGAAGTGGAACACTTTATATAAATCACAAGCAGCAGAACATCCAAAACAATGCAACAATCTTGCAAACATATTTTGAAAATCTTCCAAGGCTTCCCAATACAAATAAATCATACTAAAACATCATATGTGAAAAACTGGTTACTGCCTGGCTGTAAAATGTGTTCTTTTTGCCTATGCCTATCAATGGCATAAAAAGTAAATAAACACTCTGCTTGTTATCAGCTTGCCCCTTGCAATCTAGAAAGATTGTTTTTATAGCCTACAACACCATAAATAGTCCTCTAGCACTGACTGAAATTCACTAATAATAGAACTAATGGAACTTTTGGTCTTATTTGTAAGATTTGATCATCATTTTCTTTTGGAAGATAACCATGTCAGGGCCCGGCTTTACAAAAAGTCTTTTTGTAAAATGTGTTTTTTGTCTTTGTTCTCCCAGTTTCAGATTTTTATCCAAAGTAGTAGACACATTGAAGAAACATTAATGTGCTAGTTCACGTTTGAAAAACTGACATTTGAAGACAGAAAATGAAAATAATTTGTTGGGGTTTTTTTTGCTTTTCTTTTGCGTATTTCTTTCAAGTGTGTTCTGAGCAAGAGATACTGTTTAAAACATCTGATGGTTCAGACCTGAAGCCCAAGGGTATGCTTCACTTTAAGTGCTGAACCAGGCCTCTATTGTCTATACTTATGAAGTTATTACAAAATGTTTACATGGACATGATTCCAGGTGGAAATTGCTTCTGGAGGTCTATGACACACAAGTGTGTTAATTAAGGAGGTTTTTGTAAATGGACGAATGATGTGTTTTAGACTTTGCAGGCATGCGATTAAAAATTTAGGCAACAATTTCTGTGTCACCGAAACTAAACTGAGTTTTAGGCCATCTAATTTTAAGATTCAACGGTGAGAGCCAATTAAAATCATTCTGGTCTTACTGGAGATAGAGATATTTGTTTAATTGTAAATAATTTTGAGCTAGCCTCAACTGTATATCTTCAAGACATTTGATTAGTGTTGAAAGAGCAATAAGGGGATTACAGATAGATCTACGTATTTTCAGTATAACATTGGAAGTCGATACTGGGATTTCTGTTGCATCAGGAGGACAAGAGTCTTCTGCCACATACTGGGGTCAGTGACCTCTGTTGCATCCTGGGATTAAGTGACCTCCGGCTCATCATGTCCATAGGCGGCCTCGGTCGCTTTCTGAGTTAAGTGATTTTCCTTACAGCACAGGGTGAAGTGACCTCCGCCAGACCAAACTGGCAAATAACTGCTGACGTGTCCCAAGATCTGCAAGGTCCCAAAGTTAGGTGACCTCTGCATCCCAAGATCAAGTTACACCTGCTTGATGTGCTCTTCAAAGTCATATATGGGAGTGGTGGGGCTGGGAAAAGCTTTTCTCACAAACTACATTTTACTCCTGACATAAATAAATCTTGTACATGGGAGCACTGAGAAAAATCTTAGAGCATTATTTGGAAAGTAAAGCATTATGCAAACCTAAGATCCTCGAAATTAAAAGATCTACATTAGAAGGGGGCATTTGACCACCAGGTGGAGACAGAGCAAAACAAGTCTATTAATCAACGTATCAAAGCACTTTATCGACATTTCAGAAAGGCACCAGATACACTTTCTATAACAGCCATTAATTAACATTAATTCATGTAACAATCTTTATTCTACTTTTGTTCTTTTAAACGTAACACCATTTTTATTTTTGATGAGAAATGTATTGTTTGTAGCAAGAGAAGCAGTTCTCATATTTCTAGAATGCTAAACTAGAACACAAAGCTGTACAGCTTTAAAAGAAATTGAAGTGGTATACATCATCACATGTAAAATAAAAGGAAAATGGAAAAAAGGGAAGGTTTCTGAAATAATTTTTAAAAATTCTTCTTTACTCAATTAGTTCCTTAGCCAGCATGACATACAGTTACAAACAAGTATTACAAAGAGTGGATAAACAAAGCAAAAATAATTAATTTGAGAGAATCCAACAAAAAACAAAATTACAGTAGAGAAGCAGAAATATTACACCACCAAGCAGCTGGTGTTGACTTGGCAGGAACAGCAGCAGCCAGTGAAGTCTGAGCCACTCTGGCTGCTCCTCCTCAGAATAAAAACCCAGGATAGAAGTTTGTAAAAGGATGGATATAAGACCAGGACAGAAGCAAATTCTGTCTCTAGCAGGGAAATAGACTGTGGCCAAGTCATCCTAAAATTGCAAACTGAAAACAGTACTTGCAGACATTATCAGCCATGTCAACTGAGGAGAAAGTAACACTAAATAAGCTCTTAGCAGTGATTGGAATATAATTACGTGCATCAGTATAGCACTTTCCAAAAGATTCCCAACGTGATTTACATATAGGAAAAGACCCACTTCATCCACCGTTTACTAAGGAAAAAAACTACAATAAGGACAGAAGGCACATTAAGAGTAGAGGTGAAATCAGATTTGAAACCATGGCAAAGGATTTCTAGAACCAGCCCCTTCTAATCTACTTAGCAAGGACAGAAGGTGTGATCAGACGTATCACTTGTTGAGCACACTTTTTTTGTTTTGCATTAAGTGCACTTCCCATTAACCAGCAAGCACATCCCAGTCAGTGCATTGCTATGGGACTGCTGGTGTTGCTGGAAGGAAACGAAGTGGACAAGAAGACCCTCCATCTACATTCGAGTTTATGCTCATGAGGTCCAATAAGAGAAGGTGAGGATGTCAAATGACATAATTAAAAACCAACACAAGCACGTCAACTCGAGACCGACTCAAACGAGTCCAACACTGACAAAAAAAAGTATGGAGCGATATACGCTTTCCAGACTCATTTATTTCATATCAGGTGTTAAAAGGACAAAAACATTGCCTGCTCATGACTGTTCTCAACATATTGTCAATAAAAGTTCTAAATGAAGATTTTACATCAAAACAAAGATAACAAAATACCTTATGTCTTCTTTTTTTACTCTTGTGGTATATGTAGGAAAATCTGCAGACGATTCCAGGGAAACATACATACAACCACAGATTCAGCTAAACTTGCTCTTTGAACTTAGTCATAAATGTACATACACATATATAAGCATTCAAAAAACAAATATAGGCAAATTAAAAGGTAGTATCACCAAAACATAAGCTAAATGTCAAGCTGTGTGTGTATACATTACACTGTTAATACAATGCTTTATGGTATAAAAGAGGCATTGTATGTGGTGTACTGCTTTGGTTAAATTATGAATTCTAAATATCCATGAGCACATAACCATATTTGTTTGTAATTAATATGTACAATGCATTTTAGAAATATGATCCTTACTGTCCCGTGATAGGTGGGTTGTTAGTCGATGTGGCACATTAAGAGAGGAGGAGACATTAAAGAGGAGAGGCCCAGTTTAGGGGGTTACGGACAGTTTTGTGGGTGTTTGTACTTCAGGTGCTTATGATAGGTGAGAAAAAGCATAGAGGAAGCTTCTTGTGGGTCAAGGGTCAGACAAGGGAAAGATGTTATATTATTCAACAACATCTGTTGAAGCTGGAGTGTGCAATAGGGATCACCTTTGCTAATGTAGAGCAGGGATGTCCAGTCCTGGTCCTGAAGGCGCAGTGTCTGCACGTTTTCAAGGTCTCTCTAAAGCAGCAAAGCCTGAAGAACCGGAGAAGCTAATAAATTGGCCCAGTTCATTTGGGAACCAGCTTGTTTATTTTAGAAGCTGTGCTGGAATGAAAACCCATAGATGCATTAAGATAAGATCAGATCACTTTATTGGCCATATACAATTTCTTTTATTAGGAATGTGTCTTTTTTCACATCCCCCAGCTTGCTCTCCAGGCCTAGGAATGGATGCCCCTGATGTAGAGTCTATACTTAATTTATTGCTGAATCTGATGATCCATTTACCAATAATAACCATTGCAGTTATTTAATGGTTAATAACCATTAAATGCAGTTCACGTTTGCACCATATAAACTTTAATCTGTGGCTGTCCTGTTTTGTTAAAAAATAAATTATGGAACAGACTGTAAGGGGAATAAATAAGACTACAAAAAGGATATTAGGATGAGGAGTGAATGTTCATATACCCCGTTTCTTTAATTGCAGCATTTACTATGTAATATGTTTGAGCATATTTGTTTATCAAGGTTATTACTTCATTAATCTTGGCGGTTTCATCTTAAAAACATATGTGACATTTGTGCAAGTGATAAATTGAAAGACTTTTCTTTTTACAGCAAGGCTGAAGAGAATGATCATTTATTACCAAACACAGAGTATGACCCACTCTAGCCCCAGGCCAGCAGGTTCAGATTATGCTGGAGTCGAAACTGTTACGCTGCATCAATTATGAGAGATACAGAGGCCACATACTCAATCCCACCTCTCAGGAGAGCTCAC